TTTAAAGTAACTTTAACAAGAGTTGGTAACCATTTTCCACTTATTTATGCAGCTTGAGTAGTTCAGTTTGCAATGTAGGAAATAACTGTTTGCCCTTGTTGAATGTAATAAACCTCAATGGAGCACCAACGGTACTTTAATGATGGTCGTGTCTACCCACAAGGTTCCTCAAATCTTAGAAATGTGAGGCTGAGGTACACTTGCAATTCTGATAGAGAGATTTGGACGGTTACTCTGAGCACTAATCAATATTGTATTTCTCGATGTAACTCTATTTAATCAGACCTTTAGTAATATTTAAACTTGTGATATTTTATCATTTTCCTCATAAGTTGTAAACATGTAAAAGTAGCTAAAGTTTCAGACTTACTCGAGTAAAACTAATTAATTTTAAATAAAAACATCTATACTGAGAGAAAAATATAGTTAGATTTACTATTAATAGTTCGACAAAGTCTTAACTATTTTCCGTCGAATGGAAAATTAACACAGGATTGTAAATCCAACTATGGAACTTAACTATTTTTTTTTAGAGTTTAGGTTTTAGGAGAAAGATTATTTTAAAATAAATAATGGGTACATTTTTTATAATTAATAGAAAAAAATTAAACTTATAAAAGACATTAAAAAGAAAATTTGTCGTTTATAAGAGAAATTAATTATAGAACATGAAACAAAACAAACCCAACTTTATTTATTACTTTGTTAAGAGGTTTTGGAGATGTTTCATCCAATAGATATTAAATTAAAAACTAAAGCACTGAAATATGCATACTAGGAAATGTTGCAAGTAGTAAAACCATAAAAAAAGTCAGACGTAGGCGGAAACGTATTGTTTGGTGAAGAACAAAAGGTCAACCGCTGGTTAGATGGTTATTTGCCGTTTAGTGACTTTCTAGGAAGTCAAACGGTGACCTGCATAATAAAAAAAATGGTAGTTATACAAGAAACAAGAGTAGCTTATTGTGGATGTAATGAAACAGAAGGCGTTGAGCATTAAAAAAAAATAGTAGGTTAAATAAATATACACTTCTGTACTTGAGTTTTCTAGTTAGTGATACTATAATTGTATTGTATATCTCTAGAATTTAAAATATTATACGAATTTTTCAGAATTATTACGAGCATTTGATGACGACCATTAATTCTCTTTTTATTCAATTTGTGTCGAATAAAATTATTATGAGAGAGTACAATTTGTATTTCGTAAAATCTCTATTGTGCGGCAAAAGATGCATTATTGTGGCAAGATAAATAATTTCTGAAGAGAAATATTCTACTCAAGTAGGAGAGAAGCACCGTGGCCCATTTTTTCTTTCGGTCCATATCCCACAAAATGTCAAGACTAACTGTGCTGGAACTCACGGCTATTTTTTACCTGTGAGAATACCAACGGTGGAGACCCATTCTCGCCAGTTGTGCAGTAGAGGCTGAAGAGGAGGACAGCCAGAAAAAAAGACAAATTATTACCTCATCTGAGCTTCTCGGTGGACATTGGTATTTTTCGGTTAACCATAAAGGATCGAGTCGACAAAAGCTCTCAAGACTTTAGTGGCAATCTTTCCTGCATAACTTTTTTGTTCCATCAACATATTTTTTGATCACAGAATTCTTTGAAAATAAGTTCTTCACGTAATTGATATCGAGATGTCAATTATCAACCAATTATTAGTCTAAAGAATAAGTTTAAATTTGAATAATGTAATTATAGATACCATTTGACTTTGATCACTTCGAAACCGTGCTTAATACTCTCGGGGATATAGTAGTTTCACTCAATATGCATAGACGACGTTAGTTTAGGATATTTTATGCAACCCTAGTCGATGTCTCAATTTGTTCGGTTCAGAATCTTGTTTCGATTTCTAGTCGGAATCTTAATTAAACCTTCGAATCGCACGAGAAACAACTATGAGAATTTGCTATTTCACAATGACAAAACAATAATTGATTTTGAACGTGAATTATTGTTCTCTAAAAATCTTTTTGAAATGTAAATTAGGAGTTTCATTAATCCATTAAATTTACTGTTATTAGAATTTCAGTGTGACTTATTTGAAAAACGAATTTGATATTAAACCGCAGCATAAAAGAACTATTTTAAAAATCATTTGAGGCACGATAATATAACATAATAAGTTTAATTTAATAAGAATAATAAAAGATTAAAAATTTCAATCTCAAGAGCTTGTGAGAACAAATTTAATATCGGTTTTATTAGCATACTAAGTCGTGATTTATTCAATTTTGGCAACGGCTGTCAATGAGAAATGAAGTATTATAGAGAGTTTAATCAAGACAAAAAAAAACATTTAAAAAATTCAAGTCATAAGTTTAACGATAAATTTTGCTCTTAAAATCTCTTCTCTTTTTTAAAATAAATGCTAGAATTTCGTACTTAAATTGAAGATATCTCAAATTATTGACTTTTTAATGTCATCTATAGCAGATGAAATATGATTCAATTTATAAAATGACTGGTAGTATCGTGATATAATAGGAAAAAAATGAAAGAACGACGGTGCGATGAATAGAAGTGCCGGCGATTCGATATATTGCATGTCGATACGATTCTTCGTTTCGACATGGGGTAGATCGAAGCGATTCAATAAACTTATATTCCACGAGTTCTACAGACCGTCAAGGAGAATGACAGGATGAGTAGAACGCGTAAGCAACAAATTTATGAACGATACGCATCCTATACATACAATAGCTATAGTGGTGAGAAAAAATAGTGTGATTCAATTTACAGATTCTCTGAAGTATATTGAGACATATGTATTCCTATTTTTCATTCTTATTTTTATTTGCTATGTTTAATCTCACAAACAATTTTCATCTCATATCTGCATTCAATAAAATCATTTCTGTATATTTTTATTTCATAATACTCCAAGTGATCAGATATTTGGTGTTTTAACCAATTAAATATTGTTCATCAATAATTATTGGCAGAAAATTATAGGCACAAAAAGTATAAGAGTCAAAAGATGATTTGGAATTACGAATACTGACATCAACAATACACTAGAAATATAATAGAGTAGGGAGAAAAAACTAAAAATAAAACACTATTGATTTGCACGAAATATCCACCAAAACCAAACGAATGACAACTCGATTCATTCAACTAAATAACGTCAAGAACCTCTTGACCGAAAACTCTTGAAGCATCAGCCAATGTAATTGAATTCGAGTGTTCAAAAGACTCAATCAAAAAACTTTAAACAAAAATATGTTTAGCAGAGAAACGTTTTTTTTTTATTTTTAAATGATATTCCATCATACTGCTATGGGATGAGCAAATTCAATATAAATTATTTCTACTTATCAAGATGTTTTGTCAAAAACATATCTCTAAGAGAGCTTTGCTACGAATACTATTTTTAGAAAATTCTTGAGCATGTGGTGAAAAATAATTCTACAAAAAAAAGAAAGCTTTTAAAGCACGGTAGTAGTATTTTTGATAAAGAAAAGAATATTAGATATTGTATGATGATATTATAGATCATGGCATGCATGAAATAATGATTTATTGAAGTTTAGAGTTATCAAATAATCAATCAATTATTAACGTTGATTGACATCGATTGTGCTGCAAAAATTCCAGAATATAGTATATCTTTCTCATTCAACCTTTTATTCGTTCTACTCTTGTGACTTCTTTTTTTACACTTAAAACGAAAGTTTCAGCCCATTTCAGAAAACATTGGACGTCGAAGACATTCAATTTTTCATCGAGTCGCCAACTATATTATCAAGCACATACAAAGGTTTTGTGCAGATACGTACGACCAACACATGATCCAACCAGGCATCCAACCAAGTACATAGCTGGCTCAAGCGTCTATATATTTACTCGTTCTACCTTTTACATTTTTTTTGCTTTTTTTTTCTTTTTTATGTCACGCGATCTATATACCATACATACATAGACCCGCATTCACGTTGCCAACTTGGACCTCGCCCTTTTTCTTTCTGTGATTTTTCGTATGAACGGTTGTATAAAATTTTCCTCCAATTTTAGAAGTTCTTTTTTCTGCTGTAGCGCTAGAATAGTGAATGAATTCGGCTTTTAGTTTATTGAAAAGGTAAAAGACTTTAAGTAATTATTTGAATAACTAAATTACGTGCTTTTGTGAAAAGATTTCGAATTTTTTTTTTAACAAAAAAGTTAATTAAAGTATCATTTTTTTGTAAATTTTTATCTAAAATGAATTCACACTCTCATTAAAGTGTTGGTACCAATTTTGAAGGATTTTTTTTAGTAAAAACTATTATAGAGGATTGAGTAATTTATTTTTCATTATACTTTGACACTTTTAGAACTTTCTTATATTTTTTATACATTTTATTGCAATTATTTTCTTGCCTTTCTTCTCTAATTTTTACTCTATTTTCCTAGGTTTTTTTTTTACACTCATAACAACTTGAAAAATTTTTTTTTTTCTGAACAAAAAATAGCTGATGCCAGACAAAAATAAGACAAGTGTCTTCAAACAAGTGTTAGGGGTGAAAAATATGCTTGAAGAGACTGATCAAGTATATTCAAGGGAATTTTGTAGTGCATTCAGACGATATTAAGTGCAGAGGGTAGGAAAAATAGATATCGAGAGAAAAGACATCATTAATAACATCAAGTCTGCTGCATGATATTCTTCATCTCCAATAATACATTAAAAAAATTCTCTTCGAGTATTACTAATTAAATTATGCTTGCAAGTAATCACCATTATCAAGTAACACAATTTTTATGAATAAAAAGCGTCCATTAATCAGAGTAATCAATAACTGTAGTATACAATATATACAAATTAAAAAGAACAAATTAATTAATTCTTTAATTAAATATAATAAAATTTATTTTAGCTTTATTCAAAGTGTCATTGGTGTAATTAAGGTGATAAAGTAATTTTGCTGCTTTCAAATCAACTAATAATAATAGGATTGTATGCTCACTATTTATTAATTAATTTCTTTGTGCTTGCTTGTTACAGGTAAGGATCATAATTTCGCCAGTAATAATGCGGGTGAGTTTTACATCTAACAATAGTAATAACTAACAAACAATTATTTATAATCAACTAACAAAATCCAATCTTACTTCTGGCTTATTAACAAGACATTTCTTTTTATATTATCTCACAAAAAAATACTTGAATTGGAAAGAAAAATAAGATTGAATTAGATTGTATTATTTACCAAAATTAATTTTATTGAGTCAATGGAAGGGGGAAGAAAGATTGATAGAAAAATGTAAGTATGAGCACAATTAACTTGGATGGTAGAATAAAAATGGTGAGAATTGATGGCGTATGGTATCTGAAAATTAAGAGAACAAACGATAGGGTGCAAACGGATAAGAACGGTAAATTGCAGGCAATCTAACTGATTAAGCTTTACGGGTGTAATCCCAGTGGCATTTCTGCCGATACTGTTCATGAACAAGAGCTTGAGGGATGGGTAACTATCGGACGACGAAAAGAGAACAAATGCGACAGGGGATGAAGGTCTTGCGGCTCACCGAATTTCGAGCTCAGCGATTACAGCTACTGCGACTAAATTTAAATGCGGGTTGGATTCAGGTGTTCATTGATATGAGACGAAAATCTCGTAGGTATAAAATGGACAAGTAAAAGTGGAGATCATGAAATTCATGTTAAATTTCGATTCGGATGCTCGTAATTAGTGAGATGAGAATTCGGTCGATGAAAATTAATTAATGGTACTTTATTTATCATCTTTTACCATATTTCTCTCCAGTATTAACTCATACATTTATTCTGACAGTAAAAAAAACTGAGGAAAATATTAAAATAAAAATTTTTTTTTGAATTTATAATTAATTAAATTAAAAGCTTATTGAATGGGTGTGCGATATTTGAGAACAAAATTCCCCAGAAATTTTAATTAATTATTTTCTGACATAATTAACGAATATAAATTTCAGTAAATTACATTTCTACTTGATAATCAATAAATTTTTAAAATTTATAGTAAAAGGGGGATGGAGATAAATTAATAACTATTTTTTTTTTCTGAATAAACGAATGTTGATACAGAATTGTTATGTAACGAATTTTTCGATGTGATAAAGATTTTTTTCAACGTTCACTAATTTTGATTATGTGATAAATTCCATAGGATACGGTGAAATAAATTTTTGCTCCATGAAATTGAATTATTTCATACTCTGTAAACGTGTATTATTTAAAAACTATGTTTTCCATGAAATTGTTTTTCAATATTTGATTGCGACAAAATCAATTAAATAGTTTTTTATTATAACCTGCAGACAAAATAAAATCCATAATACACTGAGTTGACACAAAAATAAATAGCCAGAAAAATTTTTTCATTATCACCGAGAAAATTGATAAAAAATTTCGGAGTTTTCATTAAATCCAATCACATGAATAAAGCTTATATTAAAATTTTAGTAGTGCATACCTGATATCAGATTGAAATGAATGAAAAATTCAGCAGGAAAATCTTTTATTTTAAAGACAATTGGTTATTATTACACTGTAATTATCACATTAGTAATTTACTATTCTCTTTAATTTAAAATGACCTTTTATTCAATTTAATTCAATGAGTCAATGGGAATCGATGCAAAGCTGGAAGCCGATTGGTCACCGCACAATTTTGGACTTGAGGTAGTGTAATGCACGTGCTAGTAGGGTAACCGTGGTATGATTGAAATTATTCAAACTCAAGTGTGCTGTATATCCCTCGTGATTTGCTGACGAATTCAATTTATGAATAGTTTATCTTGCTTCAATTGTAATGAATGTTTCACTGAGAGCGTAAAATTCATCATCATTGTTATAATGTGACGATATTACATAATTAATTGACGAATAGAGATGGCTATCCTCATTAACTGTCCAATAAGTCTTTGATCTGTTGGGAATATTGTTTACGTCATAAATAAGCATGTGATGATGTGACTTCATAACTTGGATAATTTGGCTTTTAAAAATATATACGCGTAATTGTCTGATATAAAGTGACTCTAATTTCCAGTGCAAATTTTTCTTTACAATATCAAAGTTGTGAGTGAAGTTATATTTAACTTCGAACATAGAGAAAAGTGGACATAAAAGAGCCAGGTTTTAAAAAAGCCACTTGAATTTTTTTCAAGTTTTCAAATACATGCAGTGAATATTTGATTTTTTTTATAGCCGTACAAAATAACTTCGCCCCATAAAAATTTAATGTCTCTGACCTGTCTTCAAAATTTAAAAAAAAATTCAAGTGATACTTTCATGAAACTCCAGGCTATTTACAAAAATAAGAATAATGACGATTCTACGAGTATATTTATAAAACTTTCAAAAAATAATTCAGTAAATATTCACTACTTGCAATGAAAATAATAGAACTGATTCACTGTTATTATTCCGTACCTGCTAATCATCCAAGTGATCGCGATCATTTGCAATGATTTTGACTGATTCTTTGTTAGAGAAAAGTACAATACATTGTTGTTGAATATTTAAGTTAAAAAAAATTAATTATCCTTAAGCTGAAAATTGTGCCTAAAAAAAAAAAATTTGAAGAATGATTATTTTAATATTTAAAATGTAAATCTTGATAAAAGGAAGATGTAATGTAAATTTTGTTGGCAACAATAGTCTGGAGAAATGGCATACAAATGAGAAATCTAAAAAAGCGAGTTAAGAACGATTCCTTCTGCAGACAATAAAAAGCGCGATCAGAAAAAATAGTCAGACAAAGAGGGATTGCGGCATTTCTTTTAGCATCAGTATCAGAAAGTCGATTCCACCTAATCCGCCACCTCGACACGGGCATTGACTCACGGTTAATTTTCCAGTAAATAAACGTCGATTTCGGTGCACGCGCGAGTGCTTGCAAGCATGAGGCACATCATGACACCAACATTTGAAAATCGATAGTCCATTATAGCGACTTAAGTTGCTCGATTTATATGTATACTCCATCTTATTCTCTTCGTTTTTTCGATCACGACGTTGCCGTGTCAAGAATTTTTAACCATACAAGTCAACCGCAATATTTAGCATTAAACTTTCAGAACTTTCCATAATCATAACAGAATTCACTAACTTTCTAAAATTTCTTGATAAAAAGGGTAATTTTATTGAAAATTTTTAATAGAATATGTTTGTGGTCCAAAAAGAACATCTCAGCAATGAATTTTAAACAAAAAAAATTCATTTAAAGTTACAGCATCAATTATGTGAACAAAGACTTTACTTGAGCTTTGCTCTAAGTCAGACACTTGAAACAAATAGTTGTTTGAAAGAAAAAATGATTTTTAATACATAAAGTAGTATTTAATTATATTCTTAAACATAAATATTTATTGATAAATAATTCAATTCATTATAGAAAATAAGGAAGTAAAATATTAATCAATATCAGACGAATTATAAAATTATTCTAGTTAGTTTATTTTTTTGATGATTGAAATTTAAGGCCAATTTATTTCTTGCCTGAATGGAAATGTTGATAATCAATTCAGTTCACCTGATTGAACTCCTTTCATTATGTTAAACAACTTGAATGATTTTTCCGGTGATAAGAATTAACTTGTGTCTTTTTAGTTGATTAATTCATGGCTTCTTCCACACTGATTTCTGTAAAAAATTCATATCAAGTCAATTGAACGAAAAATTTCCATAATTATCCATGAATATTAACATAGTGAGAAAAGGTTTTTTTATCAGAAATAATTTTTTTCATTTAAATCTAATTTTTCTTTAAAAAAAAATCTTTTTTTTTTGTTTAAATAAAAAGTTATTGATGAAAGGCCATTTGTTGATAATATCAATGATAAATGTTTTTTTACTTCATTCGAATAATTATTTTCTTATATCCTCTTAAACTCAATGATACTCCTTTTGCAATAGTAGGAATGAACTGATAACCGCATCAAGTATTACAGTTAACAACCATCGGGTGATAACTCCAGTATTTCCACCTCTCACCTTTATTCTCTCCTTCTTTTCATCGATCCATTCGCAATCATCCGGTCACTGGCTTAGCATAACCATCATCAATACTTTTTTACTGCTCCTACTTCAATGGAATTTTTCCTTCTTTCTGATAATCTATTTTTTGACGGAAAAATGTGAAGCCATGAATTTCATTTATTAGCCCAAAATTATAACATCAAATCCGAGTGTTAAAATAACACTAACTGTTGAAATCGGATTTTCGCTAAAGAGAATAAATTAATCCTCTAATATATTAAATTTGAGAACCTTCATTAAACCACTTACCGATTAAATTGGAGGGGCTCTCCAAGATGCCTCAATATTCATCCAGACGTACTCTAATGCCCCACTATAAAAGGACCATTAAAACTTGCTCACTGAAAATTACCCTCATATACTAGCTATGTTTAGTTTGACGTATTTCCGCATCTTCGGGGTGCAGAAACTGTCAGATTATTGAATATAATGAAGGCCAGAATAACATTTAGTCAACCGAAAAATTTGTAGTTTTAGTAAACTCTTAAAACTTTGAACGTTAATATTGCAAACTAATTCCAGTTCATGTTTCCTATAGGAAAAAAAATTTATTACACCTTTTTCTAGCTAAAAGATAATGAGAAATTATTTTCATACTTGATGGAAAGCATTTATCGCAAGGGAATAGGTTATTTGCAATCAAAGAGGAAATTCTTTAGTTAAAAATAACATAAATGAAAGATAATAAAAAGCCTGTGGGTTTTGTTGAATTATTTGTTTATTAATTTTGTGTCTAAAAAAATTAAAAGGATATTTATATCAAAGCTGCATTTTTGCATAAAAGATTATTCCTTAATTTTAAGATTCCAGTGAGTGAAAATTAATTATTTTAACTTTAGACAATCAATTTTCTTAAAAAAAGTGAATTGCATTGTTTGATAAGATAATGGAAGAGAATATTGTAGGATCGGAGAAAAACCCGTCGTTAGTTTCATTTACTAGAATTTAAGTTTTTCTGTAGCCACTAAGTTTTACAATTAAGCCCAGGGACTTTCCCCTAATATAAAGGG